GGCTTCTCAGCACAGCTTGGGCTGGCAAGTCAAAGAAATACAATTAGGTCTTTTATAACGGCGAAATGTAAAGGAAATCTGTAACATATATAAGTAACAATCAAGTACTTGGTCCGATATATAATGTGAAATTATGATTTAGGCATGAGCTCTAACATTATTGGTGACTGAAATGAACATAAAACCCCATTATTAGTGCTCAAGAATGTTGACTTGGTAGATTTAGTCTATTGTGCTAAATATTTTGAGAAAGTAGTGTGTAAGTGGTTTTAATCAGAATTAAACTTTTATATTGTTATGGATATAAAAAGACGTTTTATAAAACATTTGATTTAATACACATCTACTTTTCTGTTAGTTTGAGAAAGCGTCATTTTCTCCGAATGCTGTGTTGAGCATAACATTCTACTGTATCAGGTGTAATAAATATAAATTATTATCACAAAATATTGACAAAAATATATTGCTCTTTGCAGTTTGGCCGTGGTGGCGTTGTAAGAGTGACGCACAAATCCCACTATTGGATGTCAATAGCCAAAAAGTTCCATCTACTCTATCAAATCAAAATTAAGGACAACGTTCACAGATAATTCAAGCAGCTCTGTGCGATATCCTACAAACAAAATATCCAGCTTGTTAGCAACTCTAACTCAAAATCTTTTAGTCTAGGAATTATTTGAAATGTTTAGGGAATAAAAACTGCTTGCAATAAAAGCTGACTTTAAGGTTTGTACAACTGATTCGATTAGTTGTATCGAAGATATTATATAATGGGTCTTGTAGATGTACTATATACTTCAAGTTTTCGTTTTTCACTTGTTAGAGAGGCTATATTTAAAATATCACCATTAAATTACCACTTCAAATCAGTTAAGCCATGGCTCTTTCTATTTCCATGATAAAATACTGTCTCTTTGGTACATTAACTATAGTAATAATAATAATACAAATTACGTATTGATTGTGTGTTTATAATTAAGCACAAAGCTACACAATGGGCTATCCGTGCTCTGCCCACCACGGGTA